ACATTAAACAATAACAACCTATACCAAGGTACATTCTTTACTGAGGTAAAACTTCTGAATATCAAAGATATGTTGAAAATTTGAAAAAAATTTCTATAGGAAAAAAAGATTTCTTACAAAGGGATAAGAATCAGATTCAAGTCAAATTTCTCATCAGCAACACTAAATATAAGAAAATAAAGGACCAATATCTGTGAAGTATTAAAGAAAAATGATTAGGATGATTTTGAAACCATAATTCTGTTTCCAATTAAACAATGATATTTTCAGATCTTTATTAAGAGCACAAAACTACAACTTACAACATTCTATGAGAAAAGGAGGATATATTTATTCAAGAAATAAAAGGAATCTGAGGGAGCTTCTCCTTCTGATAATGGCAGATAAGGCAAGTCAGATCATTAGACCTGCTGAGAATAAATAGAAAAGGTAAGAAAAACAACAGGGCCAACCCAGAGAGGTTTAGAACAGTTTTTCTTCTAGAAACATCTGGATTCCAGAAGAGGTGGTTGAGAAGATTAGCAGAGCTTTAAAATAGTCTCAGGAGCACAGAGAGAAACAAACAAAAAAATGGAGCCAAGCAAGCAGTGGCGGGTGGTATGGAAAAGTGAAGTGGGTAAAGTCAGCAGGCTTTGGGTTGGACCCAAAGCGTAACTATTAACTGGATATGATGAAGTCCAGCCTCAAGTCACTCAACATTTGATTCATAATGTCCTTAACCTTATGTGTGAAACAGATGCAAATCTGCAAGTATTTTCATATGCAATATCTGGCACTCCATCAAAGGTCATCAGGTATATGAAGAGACAAAACATGGCTAAAAACCTAAAGAAAATAACCAACAACAGAAAAAGACACATAGAGGATCCAGAAAACCTAGTCTACAGACAGAGACTTGAAAACAAATATTTTTAATATGTTCAAAAATATAAAAGATGAGATTAAAATTTTCAACAAGGAATTGGAAACAGAACACACTGAAAACTTGAAAACTAAAAAAATACAATAAAAGAACAAGGAAGTCAATGGATATGTTTAATAGCAGATAAACCACAGGTGAAGAGAGTATTAATGAACTGGAAGATCAGTTCATTAATAACCAGGATGAATAACCTGGAGAATAACCAGAATGAATCATAGAAGTGATGGAAGAACAAAAAACACAAATGAGGGGAAAGTGACATTAAAGACAAAATGAGAAAGCTAATATGCAAGTATCTGTAGTTATATAAAGAATGAAAAAAGGGAAGAGAATGTACTATTTGTATAGTTAAGGGCTGAGAAGTTTCCAAGTGGGACAAACGACATCAGGTCAGAAATTCAAGAAGTGCCATGAATCCCAAACAGGATAAAAAGAAGAAAATTATATCTTTGTACACAGAGTGAAACAGCTGAAAACCAAAGACAATGAAAACATCTTAAAACAGCAAGTAGCACTTCGGGAGGCCAAGGCGGGCGGATCACGAGGTCAAGAGATCGAGACCATACTGGCCAACATGGTAAAACCCTGTCTCTACTAAAAAAATACTAAAATTAGCTGGGCGTGGTGGCGCACACCTGTAGTCCCAGCTACTCGGGAGGTTGAGGCAGGAAAATTGCTTGAACCCGGGAGGCAGAGGTTGCAGTGAGCTGAGATGGTGCCATTGCACTCCAGCCTGGCACCTGGCAACAGAGCAAGGCTGTCTTAAAAAAATAATAATAAAAATAAAAAAAACAGCGAGGAAAAAAAATTACTTTTAAAGGAGAAAAAATTAGATTGAGAGATGATTTCTTAAAAGAAACAATGGAAAAAAGAAGACACAAAAAATGTATCTTCAAGCCAGGTATGGTAGTTCACACCTATAATCCCAGCCACTCAAAAGGCAGAGCCAGGAGGATCACTTTAGCCCAGGGAGTTCAAGGCCAGCCTAGGCAATATAGTGAGACCCCATCCCAAAAAAAAAAAAAAAAAAAAGGCGGAGGCAGGTGGATCACCTAAGGTCAGGAGTCTGAGATCAGCCTGGCTAACATGGTGAAACCCTGTCTCTACTAAAAATACAAAATTAGCCAGGTGTGGCAGGCACCTGTAATCCCAGCTACTTGGGAGCCTGGGGCAAGAGAATCACTTGAACCCGGGAGGTGGAAGTTGCAGTGAGCGGAGATGGTGTCACTGCACTCCAGCCTGGGCCACAGAGTGAGACTCCATCTCAGAAAAATAAAATAAAATAAAAAAAGAAGAAAAGTAGGTGGGAAGAAGGCAACAATAAAATATTGGAAGCTAGGAAGCAAATGAGAGTGTAGGGGAAAAAATAAACTGTATCTTTAAAAATGCTAAAAGAAACACTTGTCAACCCAGAATATATATCTAACAAATACATCCTTTCAGATTGAAAGTAATATATAAACATTTTCAGGTAAACAAAAAGAAATGATCAACCCACCTGCACAAAAAGAATTATTAAAAGGTGTTCTTCAATCAAAAAGAAAATAATCCTAATAGAAGAATGGAGATATAGGAATGAAGGAAACAAAAATGATAACTGTTTAGGTAAATCTAAAAAAGTGGTTCTCAACTGAGGGGCAGGTTACATTTGGTAATTCCTGGAAACATTTTTGGTTGTCACAACTAGGAGCAAGGTACTAATGGCATCTAGTGAGTAGAGGCCACAGATTGCTGATAAACAGCCTATAATATACAGGGCAGCTCCCCAT